CGCTTAGTGTTCCCTGCCGGACCTCAACCACGACCATCCACGCCCAGTGTTCCCTGCCGGACCTCAACCGCGAGTATCCACGCCAAGTGTTCCCTGCCGGACCTCATGTAGGAAGATAAAATGTCAGATAGAGTGCCAGAAGATTTGCCAGGTAGAATGCGAGAAAATATGCCAGAAGATATGCCAGATAGATATGCCAGAAGATATTCCAGAAGATATGCCAGATAGAATGCCAGAGAGAATGCCAGATAGAATGCCAGAAGATATGTCAGAATATATGCCAGAAGATATGCCAGATAGAATGCCAGATAGAATGCCAGAAGATATGTCAGATAGAATGCCAGAAGATATGCCAGATAGAATGACAGAAGATTTGCCAGATAGAATGCCAGAAGATATGCCAGAAGATATGCCAGATACAATGCCAAATAGAATGTCAGAAGATATGTCAGATAGAATGCCAGAAGATATGCCAGATAGAATGCCAGAAGATTTGCCAGATAGAATGCCAGAAGATATGCCAGAAGATTTGCCAGATAGAATGCCAAATAGAATGACGTCAGAAGATATGTCAGATAGAATGCCAGAAGATGTGCCAGTAAGAACATGTATAAATGTCATGGTGGGGATCACACGAAGTAAAGTATTTTTTTGGCTTCTTGGTTTCTTGTTTTCTGGTTCGTTGTTGGTTTTTTGAAGGGCTGGCAAACAACACAAAAGTGAAGGACCTAGACCTAACTCTTTGCCAGTTCTCGCCAGTTCTCCCACTTTAGGGGTTGCAAACTTGCTTTTGGTTGATTTTATTGTTTGCTTTGGGCCTGTGGTTCCATTAGAAAACCATGTAAAAAAATGGCAAAATGCAGGTATCACTGGAGGAAGCTTGGGGGGCTTGGGACACAGATTAGGCAATGTTGTATGTTTATGTAATTTTTCAAAAACCGTGTTGAACAAATGCAAAAACATAGGCAGCCAATGAATGTGTAGACCTGATTTTGATATTAATATTGTTGGATCAAACCCTTGGGTTAACACATGTTCAGTTCAAACACTTTGAAAGATTCCCTTGAGAAGGAGTGATGCATCTCTTTGAAGTGAGTGCTCCCTTCAGCAAGTGCATTTCTTTTAAAATGGTAGAGCAAGTAGGTCATGTCTTAGTCTACTTCTATGTCAAAAAAGAACCCTCTTGCACATGCAATGCCCTTTTGACAATATATTGTCTTAAATGAAGAACACATGGTACATGTAAGCACGTAAAATATGTCCTTCACAATTGAACATCCTCTTGAAAAATATTGTAGTTTGAAGAATGTGCATCTTTAAATCTTAAGACAATCAAACATTGTTTGAACATATGGTATACTGTATGCATGTAGCACTCTTTTGAAAGTGTATGGTCGTCCTTGAAGAATATGTTGTTGAATTTGTGCAACACCCCCTTGATATGAGTGAGATATTTGATTAAACGAAAACATTATTGTTGGATTGTATGAAAACATTTCTTTAACTGAGAGTTGTCTAAATGAAGGCTGGACTGATCTGACCAAGGGGAAGAGTACACATGTCGAACAAAAGTAATACAGTTTTCCAAGAATGCTGCTTCTTCACATGATTTTGTTTGCCATACAGGACAATATTCTGCTGTTCTGTGGTAAGAAGCGAAAGAGCATTCTTTAATAGTGCTCACAGTTTCAAACATATTGCACTTTTGAAAGGGGTGTTCTATGTCAATAAGAAATATTGAGTTTTCTAAAAGGGGTACTGCTCCTTTGAAAGCAGGGTTAGACATCTGGAAATGCACACTGCACTCCTTCAAAGGGCATGGTGCAACTGTTCAAGGAATACGTCAGATTTGTTTGGATATTGTCCCTGCAAAAACACACTGCATTGCCCCGAAGGAAGATTACTCTTATTAAGAAGGGTATGTTTGTTTTGAATACTGCATTTTTTTGGCAGGTATGGGGATGTTGTAATTATGCTGAAGTCATCTAGCATATTCTGCAGAAATTGTGTTTTGTTGAAGGGACACTGTAGTAGCATTTATCTACGGTAGAGTGAACACCTGGACACTTCTTCAAGCAATACATGCTCTCTAGTGGACATGAACACAGCTTCATCTGTAGCTTAAGCTTTAATGTGATTACAGTTTTGAAAAAATAAAAATAAACAAGTGCACTCCCACAGCGTCCTGCTCTCTTTTCATTGGGGTCATTTAACAGAACATGACATAAATCACTGTATTATATATAATTATATATATATACATAATATGTATACTAGTATATCCCCAGTCATTCCCTCTAAAAACCCTCGCGTTCTTGCCATAGAGTCAGTTTTAGAATGTCATGTTTTAAAGCACCACAGAACATACGAATCAACACATTTACCCTCTGGAAATCTGACATGGCCATGGAAAATGGCCATATTAAGTAGATCAATCATCACTGGTCATGGTTCATGGCTCAAAGTACCAGGGGAAGTTTTCATCTTTCAACCCCAATTCCAATATTAAAAAAAAAGCTAGAACACTATATAAGTTTTCATCTTTCAACACGTTTGTTACTTCCGTTTCGTAGAAACACCGAAACTTCTTCGGAGTCCAAACGCGCACTAAAAAAACCAGAGCCATGGCCAAACCCAGCCGCCCTTCGGGCACTTCCTCCATCTTTTCGGGCACGACGGTCAACAGCTGCCAACTACCTGTCAAAACATTAAGGTGACAACATGTGACAACTAAAGGTTGGACCTTTAGAAAGTGTTCCCTTTTTGTATGCTAAACATTGCTAAACTATGAATGTGTGTTTTTCATCATTCATAGTTGTCATTTTTCCAGATTTTCACGCAGACCCAAATGTCCCAAAAATGTCCAGCAATGATGGGCACCAACCGTTGAAGAGGCAATCCTTGTCGACAGTTGGGCCAGTTGGGATTTTTGGTTGTCCAGTTGGGATGATTCTCATCCGGATTTATATTCTAATCATCAATTATATCATCAATTATATCATGATAATGATAATAATCATATCATAATCCTAATATGTCATATTCATAATCATAATCATAATCATGTATTATCATATCAAAATCATAATCATCAATTTATTGTGAGGCCAAGGCTTCCAAGGTTCGGTTTTTTTTTGGAAATTCACCCGGGCCTAGTAGCAGAAATTCCTCAAGTCCATTGAGCCGAAGTAGTTCCTGGTTCAAAATGAGTCACCCTGTGGATCATGAGGACCAGATATTTTTGGGTGAAGATTGTTCAGCAAAATCTTGCTGGTGCTAAACGTAGGGAATGGATGGGTTGCTGGGGGTTTCTGGGATGATTACTAGTGATTATGGATCATTCCCTCATTCCCTGCTAAGCACCAGTAAGAAATTAATATTGCCAATCGTGAACAGAATTATCACAACCACTTTTCAAGATAGAGGTTACCGGCCAAGAACCCTCGCCATGCAAATCCCCTAAGTGGGAACGTCCCATGTATGATTTGGTTGTAGGCAGGATTATCAACCACTTAAGAATGGTTGAAACCACCGCATGTGAAACACCATAAACACCGAATTTCAAGGTGCAACATCAGACGAGGCTGACAGCACTAGGAGAGTTGAATTTGTTGTCAGAAACATGATCGAGACTGAGCACGTCAAACATTGTGGCAGGATGGTTTGGAAACTGATCCCTGCAAATTTCATCGGATTTTGTTTCACACGGCACAAACTGGGACAGAAAGGTCATTCCAGGATTCTCAGTTTTCACGTTGTTGTTTTCCGCCGTTCTGAATATGTATGTGTCCACATTGGTCCATACTGCATCAACTCAGATCTCAACCATGAAGTAAGCCCATCAAACTTAGTAAAATTTTCTCTTGTTGGGGTCCACCATGTTCCATTCTCCTTTCCCATCCGGAACCAATCAGCAGCCAAGGATCCACAAGGCTCCAAGTCATCAGCATGGAGTTCACATTGCTCCAATATCCTCAGTTTTGAGGGAACAGGGTTGCGATCTTGGACCTCAAGGCTGAGGCTACTGTATCATCATCATCAACAACAACATCATCATCAACAAAATCTTCATCTTCATCATCATCCTCATCCTCATCATCCTCATCTTCATCATCATCATCATCATGATCATCATCCTCATCCTCATCCTCATCATCATCAAAATAATAATCATCATCAACATCTTCATCTTCATCCTCATCCTCATCATCCTCATCCCCATCATCATCATCATCATCATCATCAACAAAATCTTCATCTTCATCCTCATCCTCATCCTCATCACCCTAATCCTCATCATCATCATAAAAATAATAATCATCATCATCATCACCATCATCATCATCATCCTCATCCTCAGCCTCATCATCATCATCATCAACAACAGCATATTCATCATAATAATAATAATCATCATCATCGTCATAATCCTCATTCTCATCATCATCATCATCATCATCATCATCATCCTCATCATCATCCTCATCATCATCAGCAAAATAATAATAATCATCATCATCATCAACATCTTCATCCTCATCCTCATCCTCATCATCCTCATCCTCATCATCATCATCATCATCAACAGCATATTCATCATCAACAGCATATTCATCATCATCATCATCATCATCCTCATCATCCTCATCCTCATCATCATCATCATAATCATCATCATCAACATCTTCATCTTCATCCTCATCCTCATCATCCTCATCCTCATCATCATCATCACCATCATCATCAACAGCATATTCATCATCAACAGCATATTCATCATAATCATCATCATCATCATCATCATCCTCAGCCTCATCATCATCATCAACAACAGCATATTCATCATAATAATCATCATCATCATCATCGTCATAATCCTCATTCTCATCATCATCATCATCATCATCATCATCATCCCCATCATCATCATCATCATCATCATCCTCATCCTCATCACCATCATCAATCATTTCAATTATCAGTCAGAATCTAAAACATATGTTTATTTATGCCCAAACGTCCAGCCACATCCGAAGTCCCGCTACTTGTGTCCAATTAGCATTTTTATGTATTTGTTTGCGGTAAATGACTAAATGTGTGGTGGCATGACCTGACTTCATGTGTGTGTATATGGAAATGCTTTTGAACTGAAGATTTTGCAGGAATAGCACTAGCGGGTAGATATTTAAGGCAACTCCAAGCAGAGCTTGACCAACGTCGCACGCCTCGAACACATGCCTTTTTCTAAGTTTGCGATGAATTTGAGGAAGTGGTGTTTTCGGAATCTGTGCAACTGGTGTCAGATTTGCGGACCGCTTTCCTACATGGATATCGTTCCGGAAGTAGCATCAGTATCAGTGACGCTCATAGATATTTAGATTGCAAAGATTGCCGGCCGCTAGCCTTGGCGCATCTTCACCTAAGTCTTCTCCCAGCTACTCTCCTTAAGCTTTAAAATTTTCAAGCCAGCATGAGCTGGCGGCTTTCTGACCTACAATACGCCGAGTGTATGTATCATGTGGTAGTAGTAGAAGTAGAAGTAGAAGTAGCAGTGGTAGCAGCAGCAGCAGCAGGAGGAGGAACAGTAGTAGGAGATACTAGGAGATAGTAGGAGATAGTAGGAGATAGTAGGAGATAGTAGGAGTAGGGGTATGGGTAGGAGTAGCAGCAGTAGCAGCAGTAGCAGCAGTAGCAGCAGTAGTAGGACCAGCAGCAGCAACAGTAGGTGTATACTTAGTAATAGAAGTGGTAGTGGTAGTGGTAGTGGTAGTGGTAGTGGTAGTAGTAGCCATACTAGTAATAGTACTTGTTGCATTATGACAAATGAAAGAAGAAACCTAGCGTCAAGCTAGCGCCCAGGTGGTGATTTGACTTGCAAGATTTTGGTGGGGGCCCGCCTTTTACAAAATACATAAATCATCATAAATCATCATAAATCACACATTTATCCGTTCATTCTGCTTCTTCAAGGAACTATCCCCAACCAAGGCTCTGCGCTCAGTCAGGGGATCGCGCAGTTCGCGCCACCCGCCCCAGACGGGAACATCGTAGTAGAGTCGAAACGGATCATAGCCTGTCCGGGTGACCAAAAGGAGACTCCCGGCATCACCGTGATCCAAAACAAGGGAAACATATGCATTGATGGAAGGGAAAGAGATGGAAAAAGTCTCTTGGAAACATCAGAAACTGGGGTTCTACCATGTTGTACCTTCCATTTCTGGGGGATTCGCACAAGCTGAACCCCTTAAACACATTTAATTCAAAACCATGGAAAGTGGAGCTTCCAAAAATCACCAAACATCTGCCAATAGACCGGGCCAGGTCTGGGTCAACTGTGGGTTTCTTCGACCCTTGTCGATTGGTGAATCCCATCCCTACAATTCCCAAAATATCACATATTCCAAATCTGGGAGCCCACAATGAGTAGATCCGATTCAGTACTAAATTGTTTTCTTTTTTTGATTTTGTTGAGCGACATGATTTAATTAATGTATATATATATATATTAATTCGGGCGTATCATATAATTCAAGATAGAGGATGATGAAGGGCAATGATGAACAGCTAGGAGTTTTTTGGTGGCGAGGCGATAATCTCCCTGCACTCCGGTCGCCCCGTGGTTCCACCGTGCTTCTCGTGTCAAACAGAGTTCGATGCCGATTCGATGCCCGGCTTTCTGCTGGACTTTCCCGGAAAATTAAAAAGATAATCTTCAGCAAATCCAGGAAGATCTTCATCTTTCTGTTTTTGTATATATATATATATTATATATATATATAAACAACCGTAAAGCCCCTCATTTTGATGGTTAAAAAGTTAAATCACCATTCAATCACCAAGTCAGTTCGAAAATAGGGTATATCTGACCAGAAAAATACTGGGGAACACATGGGACAACAACGATTCACCACATCAACTTCGGGTGGTGTTCCCTAATTTTTCAGCCAGTTCCGCCTGGTAAAAATCCCTGACTCTTGGCCTGTGACTGGCAGCAGGGTCGCCTGCGGCGATACTCCGGGCTCAGCCATGGCGATTTGTTGAAGTGGATGTACTTCTGGCGCTATCCCAAGTCATAGTACATATACCCTCTGCTAATTTAACATAGCTATTGAAAATGGCCATTTATAGTGAGTTTTCCCATTAAAAATTGTGATTTTCCATAGTCAGGTTAGTTTACCAGAGGGTATATATATAGGCGGATTTGGTGAGTATGGAAGATAATTTGATGATTACGGAATGTAGTAACCCCAAAATAGATGCCCACATAGCTCACATCTGTAGCTCACATCCTGGAAATACCCTTGTGGGGGTTGCTATACTTAATTACTTCTTGGAGCATGCTGCCCAACAGATCGACCCTAGTACAACATAGTACAATTATGTTCTAAATCAGTGACTTACATCACTTTTGCTGCATCTTTGTGGAGGTTTCTGTATGTTATGTATCTGATTGTCTGTTGTTGAACAGTGAATATACCCTGCAGTTGCTGTTTGTGTTGTTTGAAATTTGAAATTTTGATGCATATTAGCTTGGTACAGTAGTTATTGTTGGTGTGAGGTCTCGAATGTTCTACAAGCACTTGATGGAGTTTTCTAGCTGAGTAAAAAGCTAACTATAAACAAATGGTGGAATTTCCAGCTTATGACAAATTTACCATGGATTTACCATGGATTGACCCATAAAAACTCGGGATTTTCTCAATGCTTTGGTCGTTTCTTCATGTTTCCGTCGTCCCCTTGAGGGATGACCTGATTCAGAAAACAGCGGCGAGGACCGATTTTTTTTGGCGCGGCCTTATGGTAAGTTTATAACATGTTATATCTATTGGATGGGTGATATATATATATATATATATATTATGTAGTGTATATATATATATATATATAATATATATATATATATCATATATATAATATATATATATATACATCATAACTATTGCATGGGTAAAATAAAAATAAATAAATATATATATATATATGCTAAAGTTATAAACTAACTTATGCTGGCTCCCACATTGCAAGTACTCAACCATTTTTACGGTGAAGTGATAGACCATTTTTTGCGTTGGTTTCTTTGATCTCCCTTTCTTCCAGCTATATGAATCATACAATCCAGTTTTGCATGCAAAATCATTGTAATCCACCAGGAAAAAACAAGAGTCCGAGGTCAGAAACAAACAATCTAGAGCACCTAAACAAGCGCCTACACGAGACTGCCTACGCAGCCTCTCCTAAGTTATCCTACGCCATATGCCTACGCAGGACCTACGCACCAAGCAGAACAGCCTACGCATGAATGATGTTAGTTCCTCCTCAATCTAAATTCCATCATCTGGGAAAAAAAACGTGGCTCAAATGAATTGGGCACAACACAAACATTGATGAATGAGGACACGTCACACCTTCTCGGATGATGTTTATGTGTTTGGCTCAAATACTGATCACCCCGAAATTGGACGGTTCAATACCATGAATGGAAGCAGTTTCTTGGTCGTTTGGCATTTGGTACCCTCTTTGTTGAGCCTGAGCTCATCCAATATGGATAAATAATACGATCGCCCTTTTCCACGCAAAAAACACCGCAGCTAATCCCTGATTGTGGCAATTTTACTGGACATGTCGGACATGTTCAACAGATTTCAAGAGTCTCAGCATGTCTCAACTCCTGGGGGTCAATGGACGAAATACGCTATTGAAATCTGTGCTCCATTCCTCCACAACACGATACGGTTCCGAAATCTGTGCTACATGTGTATACAATTTCTTTTCCTGCCTCCAAAAAACACAACATATACTGTGGAATGATACAGATTAGTTTCAGTGATTGGTTACAATGGTCCTCCCAGGTACTCCTCACTTCAGCCAGGTTCAACAGGTCAGGTCCCCCGTTGTGTGCCAAACCCAAGATGTGCGCGGAAGAATGCCAGAAGACATCCTGGTGTCTCTGAGATTGAGGAGCATGGTCCCATTGAAAGGGCAGGGGTAGCCTAAGGTAAATGTGGAGCGGAGCAGTTTGACCTCTGCGAAAGGGAACGAAATCATCCCAGGAAAAACAAAACTGGCCACTTTGAAGTTTCTGTAACATGATGGAAATAAGCAAGCGATTGCCCTGACTAAAAATAAGCAAGCAATTGCCCTGACTAACGCCATAGCGAGCACAAAGTGGTTAGTGATTGGCTTCCAACTCCATGTAACCTTAAGACTATTTATGCAATACTGTAACACAGAGAGAGAGAGAAGACTATGAAAAGACTCAACAATAGAATATGTACCACCCACAAATACACCTTAAGTGTGTTTCAACAGACACCTTTGATATTTTCGACGACAACTTTGCTGATATCGGAGAGAGAATACAAACTATCACTGGCCGATCTCACAGCCCTACCCAGCAACACATCAACAGCCTGATTTGAGAGTCATATTTTGTTTGAGCATCAGCCTAAACTATGCTTCGTCATCATGAGAAACAGTAACATCATGAAAATAATGACAATCAACATCTTTAAAATCATCACCACCATCACCATCAGCGTGACTATTTTGATTTGTTTACGAAATTTAATATCAGCTTTGTCAAAGTCAATCAACAACTAGAATCATCAATCCTCATCAAACCTAGAAATCCCATCTCCCCACATTATCCCATCATCTTTTCGTTGCTTGGTGTTACACCGTTGTGGGGCACCGCGTCAACGCGAAAAACCGCCAGTTGCGCGATCCGACAGCACGGCCCACCGGCACCTGGCCCTGTGGATGGTCGAATTTCAGCAGTTCCATGCGGCAGCTGCCCTCCAGAGGCCTGGTCAAAAAACGATGGAAAGATCCACCGTTTTCAATGGGTAAATCATGGTAAATCCACTATTTCGACTGGGCCATTTTCTATAGGTAAATCATGGTAAATCCATTTTCAATGGGTAAATCCATGGGTTTTTCTCCACTATTTCGACTGGGCCATTTTCTGTAAAGAAAAATTGGTAAACTATAAGATTTAGTAGGTCAATCAACGATTAAAATAGGTACTATTGTAGGAACTAATGGAACTATAATAGGTAAATCAACTATATGGTTTTACTAATGGAACTATAGGAGTTTATGGAACATCAACAAATTTCAAACTATGGAACATAAACAAATTTCAAACTATATGGAGCATTGCCACTTTAAAAAGGTAAATCAACACAAATCAACTATTTCTATGGTCCATATTTTCCATAGCGAATTGTTAGTTTCCCGGAGGGTATGGTTTTCTCCAGCGTTCCAATTCCGGCAGCTTGAAAAGCGGTCCATTTCCTGCGGATCATCCCCTTGTAGAAATATGAACTTTCCACAGAAAACAGTGAGAAAACCACCAGCCGTTGAGGATAAAAACAATTGCTTACCCAAGTAGATAAGTAGCACTTAGTGAAACTGGTCAGATTGGTAAGTTCACAGTTTGCTGATCTTGATGATTTACCATATGATTTACCTATTGAAGATTGAATGAGTTAATTTTCCGTTGTTAAATTACCAGAAGGTATTTATCAATTTCTCCCATTTGAGATTCATCACATCTGGAGACAGTCCGAGCTTCAACAGCCTCTTGGGAGTTCACTCACCATTTTGGTGAAATCACCATTTTCATTGGCGAAATCCCAAATGTGTGGTTGTGGAAGTCACCATTTCATTGGTGAAATCTCCATTTTGGTTGGTGAAATATGGTGAAATCCCAAATGTTTCCATGTGCCTCGTCATGTCCCACAGGACGCTTTGCTCCGAAGGGTCTTCCTCGGGCTCATCCTGGCCATGAATTGGAAGACGTTGTGATGCGTCAATAAATTGGAAGTTAACCATGAAAGACAGCGATGTTACCATGAAAAATAGGGATCTAACCATAAAAGATAGGGATTTAAGCACTAAAAATAGAGATTCATCCATTAAACATAGTGATTTAACGCTAGTAAACCACTACAAATGCGGATAAAACGGGATGTACTTGGGCTTTGTCTGAAATAGAGTACCTCATAATTTTTGTGGTTTTGAACCTCATTTTCCCTATCACAAGTGTCATTTGTACCCGTTTTCACACAAACCCAACAAAATTCATGAGATTGTAGGCCGTCAGATTCAAAGTCATTTGGCTATGAAGCGTCCTCTGAATATGACTGAAAGTGACCAAGAGAAGCGCCACATCTGCATGCTGCAGGTTTTTATATTCATCTGGATAAGTTGCAGTACCCTCTGGTAATTTAACATAGCTATTGAAAATTGCCATTTATAGTGGATTTTGAAAATGGATATTTTCCATAGTTTTTTGTATGTTTACCAGATTTTACCAGATGGTAATTCACAGCAAAGTTCGGCCACCAGTCTTCTCTGGCGCCCGCGGCCTCCTCCACATCGGCCACCACGCATTGCGTCAGCGACTCCACGTTTTCCTTGTAGATGATCTGAGCAGCGCGTTGCGTTCGATGGTGTGATTCAATGGAAATGTATGGAGATAATGTGGTTAAAACATGTTAAACAACCAGTAATAGCCATTACTATCAACCATTAGTCACTATTATCAACCATTATATAATGGGGGTAAAACAGGGATAAACCACCCATGACTGGGAATGGTAAACATACCATCTATTAAAAAAAAAAAATGGGGATGGTTTATGGCATTGTTTTACCCACATTCTAGCTATATCATATCATAAAACTAGACCTGGAAAAAACAACTCCATAGGCCCTGTATGAACATATCAATCTTGACTTACAAATGGGTCATGCGTAGTTGTACACTTCCGTTGAATTTGCATAGATATCTAGCCTATAGTAAAATGCTGAATGAAACCTCCACAACAAAAAACGAAAGGACGATGCAAAAGTTTCTGGCGACTCGCAAATTGACGGTTTTCATCCATGTCAATCCATTTTTCAGCTTAACCCATTCAAGTTCAAGATCCATTCTTCAGATCCCAACATCTTTAATCATTCTGGGCAACTTTCGGCCATACACTGGGATGATTCCCCTTCCATTAACCATGATTCCATTGCT